TGCTGCCTTTGATGATTTCTCTGCAGTTCAAATTCTTCCGTATACAAAATTTTGTCCAGCAGTTGTGTCCACATCGGAAGTTCTTCGAAAACCTGATGTTCAAATGGCTGCTGGCGGCAAACGTGGATCTGGAGTAAACAGACCCCGTCGTTCTCTTCTTCAAAGAAGAGAGGGAGGTGCAGGTATTTTGGGCTCAACTGCTCGATATCATCCCTTTGGCACGCGTTCTGCACAAATTGAGGTCATGCTTCTGGGCATTCAGTCATCAGTAATACCATAAAAGTAGTCCATATGTAGTCACCTTTCGCTCCCTAACTGCCTTAACACCCGAAGGAAGCACGAGGGCCAGGATACTACCAGGTTGCCCAAGCCTTGACAGTAGTAGCCGCACTGCAGCGGTCGGTTTCGAACCACGGATTTCAGGTCTTCTACAACCGTTGTCTCAAGACCGTAGCTCGTGTGGGTTGGTGTCGGCAAATCTGTAGCGAGGTAATTATAAAGCAGTGCAACCGTTTGATATCAAACCAGACGGGGCACCGCTTATATCTCGGAGAAATATCCCAGTCCGTCCCGAACGTAACTTGACGCGAAGAATCATCAGATGTCAAGTGAAAGTGACCGTGAATTGCGGTGGACACAGTGAGCTAAGGAAATGGGAGAAACCCAGAAAGACGGTAATGCTCGAAGGTTATTCCAGTTGATCCGCGCAACCTGTTCCCGAAAACTAATTGTGAGCGAAGCCATCAAGGGTCGGAATGGAGTGAACATCTCGATTAAAGAAGAAGACTTCCAAACAACTGGAGAGTGTAGGCGAAAGTGCCTATGTTCAAAACAGGGACTAGTAGTGAGTGTGATTACCACAGGGGAATCAACATGACCTCGATCGTTACGAGACTGTGGGTGTCAATGGTGCTTCGTTGTCTTATGGTGGCTCGTGAAACACTGAACTGAGAGCCGCAAGCGGGATCCCGACCTGGTAGCTGTTACGTTGACCAAGTTTTCAAACCCTGTCAGGTGCTAGAACAACGCCGTATGTATAAAAGATCCTCAGTTATAGTATTCCTGGACTTCCAAGGCACATTCGACTCGGTCGACCGGTCTGTTCTTGACACGTTTGCCCACCAAGGAATGCCCGGAAGTTCTTAAACATAATGAGCTCTTTGTATTTTCAGACTTCCAAACGTGTGAGCGTATACAGAAAGCTCTCCAGACACTTCCGTACAAAAAGTGGTGTCCGTCAGGAATGTGCACTCTCTCCATTCCTATTCATCTTCGTGATCGATGAACTAATGAGACGAATGCTGGAAGATCTCCAAACCCCCGGTGTTCAAATAGCCTGTGACGAAAACCATGTCCACCTGAAACATGCAAACGACATCGTTATAGTCTTCGAAGGGGAGCAGATCACACAGGTATTTTTGGATGAACTGACGAAAGTCATCCCATCTTTTGGTGTGTATTCTGCACCCACAAAGTGTAAGGTCATGCTCCTCATATGCAGTCAGTGAACATGCCACTTATAATTCAGAGAGGGGCACCGCAAGTTGTGGAGTTTCTTATGGATCTTGGAGGTTGTAATAATCCTGATTGTAGTGTGACAAATGTAGTCAAGGCCCACAAGGCCCGGGTCATGTTTGCTAGTTTGAGACACTTATGGCGTCAAGGTGGTGTATCCTTGAATCTCAAGGTACGTGTGTAGCAAGCTACAGTGCGGGCCGTTTTGCTGTATGGCTATGAGACTTGGCCTGTTCGAGCAGCGGGACTGAGGCGTCTTCAGGTGTTGGGCAATCGTTGTCTCGGGAGCATACCTCATGTGGGATGGTGTTGGCGTATCCGTAACGAAACGATTAAAAAGCGGGATTTGTGTTGTGCACAGTTACTTTCGTTGAAGGATGTGTCCAGCACCAGAAGTTGTGTTGGTTGGGACATGTGTTGCGTATGCCTAACCGTCGTTTGCTGAAGAGAGTACTGTTTTCCATGCCCAACTCAGTGTGGCGGAAGCAGAGAGGTGGCATCCCTTGACCTGGCAGAGGGTATGAAGGAAATTGCGAAACGTTTGGGTGCTGCTGATGCTACTTGGCTTCTAGTATGGAGACCGCATAATCACGTTGCCAGATATGACTGCCAACCGATGTCAGTGGCGCCTTTGTTGTCAGTTTCTATCCAGATTGTTTGAGTGTCTGGAGGTGAAGGCAACTTTGAATGATTGTGGTAGGCTAGCTCTAGCTCCCTTCCACCTCCACCGTTATCTTCTCCTACTAAGACCTCTAAATAAGTAATGGTTATACGGCAACGAATCATCACTGTTGAGCACTGATATGCTGTCCATGATGATGATGCTGATCAGTCTCTCCTTAGGTTTTTCACTCACTTTCATCCTTCCGTTTTTTTGACGCTATAATTAGGGTATTCTCAGAAGAGGTTCCGCTGATTGGTCTCTTGAGAACGTTTTGGTAGGAATCGGGGAAGGTCAATGCATACGATACGCGCAACACGTATCCATGACCGTGGCGAGACGTTTGATACTGCTTTGTTTAATCGGCTTGCACCTGCATCCCAAATGAGTTCACATACCCAGAGGCTGGTCCAACGGAACGTGAGCTTTACATTTCCCGAAGTGTCACTGGCGGGCAGAAGGACCCAATGTGGCACTTTGAGAGAAATATCTGAAGAGTTGAGCTCAGTTTGACATCACTAGATTCGGGGCACTCAGCTGAAAGCCTAACATACCGTACCGCTCAAGACATTGGGCGCCAATGCCCCAATGAAATACGTGATTTCGCAAGGGCACTTTCACTTACCTCTGTCTGATCTGCTATTGTTGGAGACGGAAGCTGGTCACGGGAAGCGTGACTGGTACCTCAGGTGAGGGTGAACTCCATCCTAATTCTGATAAATGTTTTTCCTGGCAATCGATTAATCTGAGCTGAACAGTGCCGCAAAATTTATATAATGATAGATTCTGAAAACTAGGATAGCGCTTGAAGCAGATGTCCTACTGATGTTCAGCGGCCTAGCAAAATTGTTGTTAGACGGCTTTCCAAAACCTTCATTGATCGATTAGTGGCGCGAGAAATCCGAGCCGGCTAGTTTACACAAGTTTTTACACTGATTTCTTCTTGTGAATGGGGCTTCGTACCAACACCGTATAAACGTCCACAGGATTTCTATGAGAGTCTGCGGATAAGTCGCTGATTTGTGCATCGTGAGTATGCACTTTGATGTACCATCATCATTTAGGCAGTTGATTGAGTGAGCTATATCCTGGTCGATACGCACCGACACTTATTAATTATCTGGGCTACCATTTGGTGTCAACTCGATCGCTCTCGTAACTGTGCTTCTGAAGCCATACCGTCTGTCAGCATAGCATTAGCTATATCTTCCACCCCACATCCTTCGGTCAAAAATTGTCCCATCTCAACGCAGTTTACGCAACTCAACCGGTGCTGTCGAGAACATTCCACTTGACTTGTTTAGTGGTTTTATATCCCTTAGATATGGATATTGTACTCAAGAACCATTGTTGAAGTGTCGGATTCATGAACTCACCTTAACTTTGCTCGCTGAAAATGGTTTTCCCGTTATTTTTAGTAGATTTCTTTCATCTTGGTGATATCTGAGATTTGGTTTCCGTAACCATTTCCACCATTTTTTAGTCTGATTTGTCATACACCTCAGTAATCTCATTCTGTTTTTTGGTGAAACGAAAGCTCACAAATTTGCGGATGTCCGGATGCCATGATTATGAGCGCGAGCATGTTGCACACGGAGTAACCGGGGTTACAAATGAATTGTTTGTGATTGAATGGATGCGTACGTTAGACGAATAGGGTGGCACATCCTATAGAGCTCCCCAGGCATAACATATGGTAGATCGCAAGAATCACATTCATTTCTGCAAAAGTCCTCATGATCACAGTGCTTTGCGCAATACAGAACTACTTGTGATTCAAATGACCGAAAGCTGTATTTTTTAATCGCACGTTAGTTGAAGATCAGGGTATAACAGTCCAAACAAGTCTGCTGTTTTACCTCGAACAATCAGTGTCACGCTGCCACTGTTGGATGACTTTGCACCTGTTCCTTGCACGGCCAAATGCATCTACCTACCTCCAACTATCCTTTCCCTACANGATTGATTGATCGATTTCCCCTATCAAAATCCGGCCTTGTACTTTCCGTTCAATTGACCCAGACCAGGTAACATGAGGTTTAGCTATGGTTTACGGAGTAGTGATCAGTAGGATTATTTAGTGTGTTCTGTTGGACTACGGGGATGTACTGTGTGATCAGACAATCTTGATGTGCAATCAATCTTTATGGGGGGCTTATAGGGAGGATTTTATATAAAAGATGTGCAGTCCATCTTCACTCAGGAGCTGTAGGAGCTGCAGGGGCAAGATGGCCCCGACCTCTGCCTCTCGACTTCCTCTGTCTAGAATTGGGAAACCTGGCAGTATCCCAGCCCTCGTGTTTTCTTCTGGCGGCATGGCAGCTAGGTACCGAAAGGGTGCTACAGCTGAACGATTTCAGTTGCTGCAGTTGCACAGCTTATTCGCCTCTGTGGCAGGATTTCCTATTCTTGGTCCTCCAACGTTGGTCATGCCGTATTGGTAACTGACCGTTGCAACTGATTACTTACCCTGTGTCAACTCACATGCGCTTTCCATCCATTCAAGGTCCCTCCGTTACGTTTGCCGGTTTTCTGCTTTTCTCCTTATCAGAATGACTACTGAAGGACTTCTTTGGGCTTTGAAAAATGGGGATCTTCAGAGCTTCAAGGACCTATCTCAGAATGTAGTTGTTTCTTCTGTTCTATGTAATCTTTCACTGCAAAAGTTGCCAGACGTTTGTAGATTTTCGACAAATGGGAGGAGCTTATTACACTACGCAGCTGATTACGGACAACCTGAAATTTGTGAATACTTGTTATCGAAAGGTGCAGATGTGAATGTAACTGATCGTCTCCTGTTCTAATCAATCCTATTCAACTTCAGACCCCAGACAATTATGGAGTCACTCCGTTGCTAGCTGCAATCTATGAAAACCATATTGATTGCGCACGAGTTCTTTTGGAAAAGGTAAGTGTCCTTCACGTGCTCACCACTGTTTTCAGGGTGCCAAAGTTCTAAACACCCCAGATGGTGTCTCTTATCTGGAGGCCACGGAATCTGAAAAACTGCGAACTCTTCTCCGTGAATTTGGTGCCCCATGATAACTCCCCCATCACTGTAAAAGTGCCTCTAACAAGCTGTATTGCATTTTGTTATCCTACTGACTTTTTGTCGAGGTATCAGTCCTGTTCCTTTGGAAGGATAATTGCTACATTAAAACTTATGATATTGGTAATTGTTTTCACCCCCTACTATTCCCCGATTGATGTGTGGCTGTTAACTCGGTTTCGACAAGAATGGTGTCCTCTTCGCATAGTGCTGCAATATGGGAGTATTAAGTCTGTGATGGTTTTAGGTAGCCGAAGTCTAAACAAAAACGTTCGAACTGTCACATTGAACTCAAGTCATGAATTTCCTCTTCAGGAACACCTTCGACACTTTCATCTCTCCATCACCCATAGTTTGAGCACATTTACTCGTATTATCCATTTTCGTAGTTTCGGCGTTCCTCCTTGGCTTTCCAGACCTATCAATCTTTTGTACTTTACGGTTTCGTCCCAGTTGCTTTATTCACATCACTTTTCGTGTTAGTCTTTTAGCCCGGTGAGCTGCTACCGGCTTGACTGGGGATGAGCTTTTCTCAAATCATGAGTTCATGGCCGAAGTGGCGTTCTTCTGGATTTGATGGAGTCGGTTTCTCTCTTGATTTGGATGGCCTAGCCGCATCCTAGTCCTCATTCTTTCTCAGGTTATGTGCCAGCTATCCACGATAGAGTTGCCACAGCTGAACGATTTTTTATTAGGTTGTGATGTAAGCAGGAATAGAGGCAAACTGAAAACGGAAGTAATTCTTACGGTCAATTTTCACAGCAGCCCAATAAAAGCATACATTTAATGGTTGCAAGAAATCTTACTCATTGTTGTATGAAATTTCTCCGACATTAACCTTATGTTTGATGCTCAGGTGATGAGTGTCATACCCAAGGTGCACAATACTTCCCGTGTTTATTGGTTGCAGGTGCGAATGATCCCATGATTTACTTGACTGTGGTCAAGCCGATAAATCTAGTTGTGTCCATACACTAACAACTGCAAGTACATGGCCCCTTACTGCTCGCATTTTTTCCATAATTATTAAACTCCATGACTTTCGTGTTTGATGTGATACGCTTCTTGCAAAACTGTGTGCTTCAGCTTCATGGAATAATCGGGTGGTGAAACTCCCTACAGAAACTGTGGACATATTGACTGAAAACTGTTGCCACAAGGAGCTTGGCGCCGTTTAGGGTGCCTGAATTCGTCCCTGGTTCATGAAATCGAAATGTTCCTCTCAGGAAAGTTTGGAAAATAATAGTTGAACCTCTCCCCATACTTTCCTTAAGCGGTTGCTCCTCGAAATCTGTTTTATATTGATTCAAAAACAATTATGCTACTCACCATTTATTCCAAAAACGCTGACAGCTTATGTGGTGATATATGGACGATTTCACCCTATACTGCGATCAGCATTGTGGGAGCCTGACCCGTAAGTGCCGTTTTCAAACTGACGAGATCAACCAAATTCAGAGTGGCAGCTCTTGCAAAATGCTCTTACATCCCGGGAGTATTGCAAGCAATACGCAGTCCAAGCTCTAAATCTCACTTCCTCTGGCAGTCCTACGCTTAGTTATGACACTAAAACGAACAGGTGGTCCCTTATGGTTCTCCTCTGTGCCTGGAACTGAATCGCTTCTCTCACAGCTGCGATAACCGTTTGCAATTTCGTGATTCTTGCTGTTTTTTTGGTTTTTCACGTCTCGAAATTTTCTTTCAGGTGATGAATATCTACATCTGGTGAGAAAGCTCTGATCATTAGATCCGAAAATGACCAATGGGCCGCTGCGACATTGTTGATCGTAGGACCTTTGTAGAGAAATAATCGATTTGTTGATCACACAGCACTATATTGAGGTTATGTAAGAGATTGCGTTAAGCCGATTTCAGAGGCCAGGATGACATAGATACTGGATGAAATGGGACCTTATACTGACAGTCAATAACGTTTTTAGTTTGCCAGTTCCACACAGTTGGCTATGATGTCATGGGTACCACAGCCACTAAGGTACTGTCAGGTTTCCAAAATAGTTGACAGCCCAATGTTGGACTCAAGCCATAGGCGGCCAGGTCAGGAGCTCACAACTGAACTCCTTGGCTGCTCCAAAGTACTTGTTTGCACAATCAAGAATACAACTTTGGCAGTAGCCCACAGTCAGTATGAGATCGCGAAGCGGCAATATTTCATTCGGCCTACAATAGCTTATTTGTTGTGGCACTACAATGAAGTAAGATGATAATAATAGATAGTCACTCAGCTGTAGAACCCTTTCTGTGCCTAGCTACCACGCCACCTGGAGAAAGCACAAGGGCTAGGAAACTTCCAGGTTGTCCAAGCCTAGATAGACAGAAGTCGAGATGCAAAGCTAGGGGTTCGAATCACGGACCTTCCGGTCAATAAATTCCCGCTCTAAACACTGAAAGTCTCGCTCCAATGAATAGCCAGGAGGAAAGTTGTACATTACAATGTGGAGTAAAACAACCGAGGATAACGAAGATTTTCTGAGAAACAGCCCATTGGCGTTGGGTAATTCGGATCTGAAAGAATATACCAGTGTGCGGAATAAATTAACCAAAACGTACGCTGGGGCATCTTGCTATAATCGTTTTTACATCGTTTCTTCTACTGATGATCTACTCTGCTTTCCCCAACGTAGGTACGCATTTTTCACGTACCAAACAAGCGCAATTGACGTAAGACCTGCATACTTGGAATGCGTCCCCATATGTTGCTTCTTTTTCGACCGACTTTCAAAACGCCCCTCCGTGGTTCCATCACGGGGAAAAAAGAACCAAGAAATTATAATAGATTATTTGCATGTACTGCTTGAATTTTTTATCATTGTTTCAGATCATGTCGAGAAACGGCACAACAGAGTTTTGTCTGTTACTGTCATCATGTATATCTACTCCAGAAATCGCCAGCTTGGTAGCCGGATGTTTTTCACGTGGCCATCCACCGAACGCTCCTATACAACCCAGCAAAACCAATCCATATTTATCTGTTAGAACTTGTTGTCAAACCATCTCCGATGGAATTTATCATTTCAAGCACTCGGAGCACTTTCTGTTGATCACCTTGTCTCGACAACTCATATTAGAATGTGCCATATCCATCGTACCGAAACTGAAAAACGACATAAGTGGTAAGTATGCCAACCTGAAACACTTCCCTAACTTAGTCTATTTTATCACCTCAAGCTTGAATGACTTACCTTTAAACGCTGCAATTTAGTTGATAGTACCTGTCCTTGGACCGCGTTGAAGTTACTTGTTTATCGGTGGATGTCTTCTTTACAGAGCTGTTTGCTAGTAATATGATGTCAGATCGTCTTTTTACGTAGCCTCAACGTACAAGTTACACTAATGCGTTTGCATGCTAGGCGTCTCTGATCCGCGGGTCCTTCATTACTCTCAATGTGGACCTAGGGCGTGTTTATTCGATGCGTATGTAAATCGCTCACTTTTACTGTTCTCACTTTTAGTGTGCAACCTACCAGCAAGGTCGGTTGTAGCATAAACCCCTTCCTGTTTCTTCCTATGAACAGCATTTCAAGGCATTTTGAAATGGCACGATTGACCTTACTCTAAAGAAGAGTCATTCTGTTTGGTAGGCGTTATTTCGCTCTGAAGAATTCACACCTAAAAGCTATACTTAGGCTCACTCTCAGGAGTGGAATACGTATCGCCCACGCATCGTGGCCACAATCGCCATCCGCAACCCGGCCTAGTGCCCCTCATGTCAACAATTTTCTTCATCTCCGTTCCGTTTGTCGTTCAAAAAAATATCGGGCACCGACATTGTTGCAGCCTTGTAAACTCGAACTTTGGTGGATAGGCTGATGTCACTTCTGTGCCCAAGGTGATGGAGTTTGTCGGTTGTACTCCTAACTTGTATCGAATGCATCTGGCTCAAATATCAAATTAAAGAAAACTTTAAATTAGTAAGCTTCAACACAGAATTGATAGTAGTCGCGTTTGAATATTGAACGCATTCAAGTAATAGTAAACCGAACATCAAATCCGTTCGACGGATGTATATCAAACTGCCTACGGGGCCTGTTTCCGTTGGACATGTTATGGGTCAAGAAGATTTGAGCCTGACCCTCTCGATTATTCTGTGTGTGAATAAAACATTGCCAATCTTCAGTTGCCCCAGGTAAAACTGCCTCAAGCTACTATAGACAGAATCGCAAGCCAGGGACCAACATAGGGATTGGGAAACCACAGCGGTTGGCGGGGTTATGCTGACCAAATTTCAGCAGCTAATTCTGTGCCAAAGAAGCTTCGAATAAACACTGTGATCCTGGTCACCTGACACAAACCGGATACATGTTTGTCCGTGGAACGTTTTTATCAACCTCTGTTCGTATGTGAGCTATGTGTTTTGTCTCGCAGTAGAGGAGAGGAGTTAATGTTAAGTCTCCTCGGCGTCTGTCCCATTCGTACGGATGCGATGACCAAATGGGACCAAATGCTTCATAGAAAAAACATCAGCACAGGTTGATGTTGGTTTACTTGTTTACAACAAAATTACCAGTCATCACACGACCAAACTGCTATCTAGTGATCAGTCATAAACATGCTAGGATGCGATGTTTGTTTCTTTCGTCAGCTACACTTAGCCTCTCAGTAACTCTAGTCTGAATCGATCCTGAGTTAACACTTCAGCTTTCTTATCTAGTCCTGTTTTCATCTATCTAGTCCTTTTCATTTTTGACACTCATTACTCGTCCGGTTTTAAGAGTGGTTGGCTGTTCAGTCTGATTATATGTAAAACGTTTCTTTCAAAGACATTTTGCAGCCGTCAATCCGCATTCCCTGGGTCTTGCATAACGTGTTGATTGGGTGCACGCCACACTCAACCAAGAGCCATCTTTGGACGTCCACTATACATAGCAGAACTTCGACTACATGTCAAAAGGGTTGACACTATCAAATTCATTAATGGTGAAAAATGTGCTCATTCTCCTGATTAGATGTTCACTCTGTCCCATAACTCCCACAGAAGTGATGTGAAAACTGCATGCACTTAATCATTTGTTTGTTTGATTCTATCCAGTCTTGGAGCGATCAGTTGACGAGCTTTCCGTGGGGCAGATCTCATGGCTAGCTGAACTTGCATTAAAGTCCTACGTACTTGACAAGGACATGTTGGTGAAACTCCTTCACGCAACCCAATCAACCTCCGCGCACCTCACCTTATTTCCGGCGCAACATCACTTCAAACCCACGCTCTTCCTTTTG